CACTGAGTGGAATGTTCTCATTTCTTCTCAAGTGTAAAAAGAGGTGATAATTCTTAATAATTCTGTGTCGCATTAACTAACCTCTTCGGTTTATTCCGCCAGACAGTAAATCAATATAATTATATCGTTATTAATTTGTTTAGATACGCAATTCCATATTATATTCCCTGTTAATCAAATTCTAAAAGTATGCATTTGTTAGATAACGAACGAATTCACAGAAAAGGTTAAAAGACTATCACTTTTCACAAGGTATATAATCCTAATATGGTCAGAAGGAGCACATGAAAATGTTTCCCAAATAACAACATGTAAGACTTTGATGCTTAAAATGTTTAGGGAGAAATGGAATACTGGTGTGTATTTTTTCTTTAAACTACCAAGACCAGCAATATACAGTACAGTTTACATACAGTAATATGTTTATGTTCCTAAATTAATATCGTTAAAAGGCATGGTGAATCGGAGATTATCAAGAATTACTTTATATGACTGGAAACGAATGCGTGATCGGATCAACTAAATGCTGTGGTGTTACTTTTTGTCAATGAAAAAATAAACTCTTTTCGTTTACAAAGACGGTTATAAAGAATGTGGACCAGGGTAATACTTTGAGCCTACAGCTTGTCCGAGGTCATTCATTATTAATACTATTAGTAATATCTTCAGTAAAGACTTTGATGCATACAATATTCCTGCATAATTAAAATATTTATGATAAAGGTGGTAGGTTGTGTACTTTTGTCCAACAGAACAATCTTGCTTTTATAAAATATACCGCCTTTTTAATGTTTAATGATTAACATGCTGTAATACACTGTTTAAATTTAAAAGTCTAAAGAGTATACAACTTAAATTCTTAATTGAATAAGGATTGTCCCTCAGCAGTGATCTGGATTTGAAACTGACGTTTTCTGGTGACAGCTCAAATGCTGTACAGGAGAGGTTAACCTTTATTAGCTCCACCTGGCGGTTTTACAAGGTGATTCCAGATACTATTAACATAATCTAATTTGCATACGGTATGACGCGGTATACTGCGACACGCCCACCGTGTTATACTGCAGCATACCCCCGCTTGTTTTGAATGGCTGCATCTGTATTTATTCTATTTTATTTTTAACCTCCATTATTGAATGTGTCTACATTCCCCGCCTTGCAACAATATTTATATATTTTTAATTTTTAGAAACAAGAAAATATGTAATGTAGAAACACAATATTTAAATATTTTAATGATTGACCAAAATAATCAGATTTTGAACAGAATATTTCCCATGAAAGAAAAATAATAGATTACCAACACCCTTAAGAGTTCTAGTTTTCTTTCTCTTTGCAGAACGTACAGGTACGTTTTTTAACCAAAATACATACTTTTTTTTAAAGAAAGCATTTTAATTTTTCTTTAGTTTATATTCTTGATCAGCTTTGATTTCTCCACTTTTTACATGAAATGTTTTTTTGTATCCTTAACAAGATCTACAATTCTTTCACAAGAAAATATCTGCAAGCATTTTTTTTACTAAACACTATTTATATAATTATCACAGCTTTCTCCTGAACAAGGAACACCCATTAATCCCTTTACCTGTGGGTATAGTGGTTTCCATGGAAACAGCTCCCATATCTTTATGGAGGAGTTCCAGCTGTTCCTTCTGTTTTTTACTCTGGGCCTCAGCCTAAGGGTATCAGACAGACAAAATTAGAAAACAGTTCTGTATTATTTCAACAGGTGGTGTATTGATGCCCAAAATACAAAGCTACTCATAGACGGTCCAGATTTCTGCATGTTTATTATTGCACACAGGTTGTTTTTTTACAAATACATTTTAATTCTAAAAATTAGAAAAAATAGAAAAAAAAATATTTTTTTCACCAAGTCAAAGGACTAACTGCTGTTACTGTTACTAATTGCTAAATATTTACTGTTTATTATAATTAAAGAAAGAAAAGAACAACCAAAGAGTAAATGCTTACCAATTCTCTGTGAAGCCTTTCATATTCAGGGCGATACTCCCTAAGTAGAAAGAAATAATGCATAATGAACCCATATATACTGTACATTACAATTCCATTATACTACAATAGACTGGGCCAAACACCATTAGACAAAATCCAGTAAATCATACAGCAGGGTTACCACTTCCTCACCTTTCTCATCTTTGTCGCTTTGAAGCTGAGAAATATCAATATGCTTCCAGCAACATGGTTTGACACCCTAGCAATGCTTCTAATCAATCAAATCTACTCAAAAACCTAAAATAACTTAATGTTTCAACACAGAAGTGTCTTCATCAGGGGTAAAAAATAGAATAAAAAGCTTATGACTGCAAATGTACCGCACCATGCCTTTACTAGGAAGTGACAAAACCCATCTTTCAGTTAACTGCAATATGACATATTTTGCAAAATTAAAAAAAGTATTTACTAACGTTTCATACTCCTTTGCAGCCTCTGAAACCTGCTGGAAAAGTTCATCTAGTCCACTGCCTGTGACTGCAGAAACACCAACAACCTGATATTGGCAGAAAAAGAAATAGGTAATAGCCATGAACTAACACTAGAAACTGTTCTAGTACGAATCCAGGCAAGAGACTCACAATGGCTTATGGTATTAAAAAGCTCACTGTAAAACAAACTTCCATATCCTGATTCCTAGCCTAATAAATTAATATCAGCCTGGATTTCACTTTGTGAGTTGAAAAATTAAAATCATGTAATGATGGGTCACTGTTACAAGGGAAGAATCCATTGAATAATACACAGCTAAATAAATAGTAGTTGCTATTAAATAATATTTTGCTTGGATATATAATTCATATGAAGTTTTTGTGTCATCAGCATTAGTGGTGATACAAGGAAACAAAGGCAAAGAAAAGAAAAAAAGGAATGAACCATCCACTTTCTAATTGCTTCATTCACTTCAGGTCACCGTGGAGCAGGGAACATGAATGGTCATAAGGCAGGATACACCATGGATGAGACACTAGTCCATCAGAGAGCACACAGTCACAGACACACACCCACGCTAGGGCCATTTTTCATGTCGGTACTTCCCCGTTATTTTCCGGTTGATATGTCGGTATATATGTACTTCGTCAGTCGTGCTGCGAACGTAACGTAACGTGTATCTAGGACATAGATTGTTCTATCACAAAATGTTAAATTTGTGTTTGCTGTGTTACAAATATATTTTTTTTAATCAATACGCCATGGACAAAAAAAAAAGAGAAAAAAGGACAAACTTGAGTGCAAAACAAAAGTAAGAATTGATTGAAAAATTTGAAACTTCACAAAGCAAAAGAGAAGTTAAAAAAAATGTTTTCATGTGTGATGCGGATGCTCCAAATAAGCCAATAAAACATATGAAAATGGCACTAGAATCTTCACTGGAAGATGATGTGTTGAAATGGTATGTGCAACAACGTTCTTGCGGTGTTAATGTACAGGGGTACAGATGAAGTCTGCAGCAAACACGCTAGCAAATCACATGAAAATCGATTTCAAAGCGAGTGATTTTATTTAGTATTATTTTCTAAAGCATGATATGTAATATATACAGCAGAATTTGTCATTATTCACATAAATACGGGTGGCGTTGGGCTTCAAAATATATCATTTGTTATTTAGCAGACTTTTGGTCTCATATACACGCTATTTAACAGACATTAGGATTTAACGGACATTCAGCAATATCGGACATCCCCTCCCCCCAATTAGTCCTTTAAATCGAGGATATAATGTATTTTCCACATTGTTCTCGTAATTAATTTTTCAGTTTCAGTGTGGGTCTCTGTCACACTGCATGGTGAAGCTTTCCTTTAATAAGTATGTCTACGTAAGTGGGAAAAATGTTTTGTAAACTTCACCATTCATTTTGCTCCTGTCATACAGAGGTGGACGTGCATGCCAAATCCATAACATTAATTCTCCCATGCCTCACAGTTGGTATTCTTAAGAGCTCAAGTAGTTCTTTTTCATCTTTACACTAACATTTCCATCACTTAAAGGTTTATCTTGGTCTCTTAAGTTCATAAAAGTTAGTTCCATAACTCTCCCGGATTATGTTGGCAGTAAATTCTAATCTGCTTTTCTGGAGTTGTAGAGAGTTATGCATCTTGCCAGGTAACACTTTTAATTCTGCTGTGTCAGTCTTCAGCAAACTATAGGCTGCTGGTGATTTCACTGACAGTCATTTTGTGGCAGTTTTCCTTGACAGTTATGATATTTTTTGTCATTAACTATAGGCGCTTTTCTTGACTGACCTGATCTTGTCTGATTGGCTATTATACCTGGTGTTTTTTTTTGTTTTCAGTACATTCTAAACTGTTGATTTTGGAAAGCCCAATCACCATGCTATGTTTTTCAGTTTCTCTTTTGTTTCAGCATCAGGATTGCCTGCTTTTTCAACAGAATGCATAGCTGAGTTCCTAGACCCAGCACTTCCAGAAGATGGCAGTATACACACCCGGAGATTGTTGTAGAATTCATCCAGCACCAGGCTCATTGATCGTGTCAGGTTGCTCACATAAGAAGTCTCTTGGTTCAGAGCATCCTGGAAGACTTCAAAGTCCTGCATCCACTCCACCGCAAAGCTATGGTCAATTATGTCTGTCTGCAACAAAAAGATGCACAATACACCACCATTTAAGACATTTATTAGTTAACACAGAAACACTTGTTATTGATCCATTTTGAATTCCAGTCCACACAACCATATAAGTATAGAATTCCATGTAGGAATTTATAATAGAGGCTTTTTTGTTTAAATTCAAGTATCTGTCTTTTAAAGAATGTTGGAGGAGTCCAATGACTTAATGACTTAATGACTTAATGACCAATGACTTTTTCAAAAGTTCCTCCATGCTACGAAAACAATGGAGATGTATACACAGCTCCTTCTTGATTGGTTTCATAGACAGACTAAGAGAATATTTATTACACATTTTAAATGGTTTCTCAATCGAATTTCTGGAACATTGTGGAAGGAGAAACTGTTTTTTAGCTCAGAGACAAGAAGGAAGGAGGAAGAGAAGGAAGGATTCAAACAGTATTTGATTCCACATACACAACACCTGGTAATGAGTATCAGTATACAGGTTGTAAAATTATATATAACCCCCACCACTATAATCCTCAAACACAGCCTGAACCCACTCCTCCTCAAGTGTTTCAGCATTACCTTATTCATGACCACAATAAAGGGAAGCTTTGTCTTGTACAGGATGCTGTAGAGAAGTACAAAAAAGGGAAAGTCAACAGGCAGATCGGTACGTACTGTATATAGCACATACTAAATCTAGGTTATATATAGCTTTTGTCCTTATCATGTACAGGTATGTTTCAATTACTGTAATTAGGAGGTATGGGCTTAAATAAAAGGTTAATGTAAGAGATATTAAATTAAATGCATTTCCAAACTATGAAAATAATCTGAAATGCTTAGATGCATACACAGTTTAAACTTAGGTGATCTGTAAATGAAAAAAAATAAACATGCTAACATGTACAAACAATACGGAAAGACAAAATTACTAAGCAAAATAATATGCACATGGTGTTCACAAGCATTAAATGTAAAAGTTTTGTCTAAGTTTGTGCTGATGAAAAACAAGTATAAGGAGCCAAGATCCTTTTGAAATAAAGGGTCATGCAACACGAAATCAGTTATATAAACATAGATTAAAAGGGGGAGGAAAGAGGTAGGTTTATAACCCAAAACGTAAGAAATTTAGATTTAGATACTCCAAATATGTTTTAAACTATATTAGAACAGTTTAAATTCTACAGAAAACAATAACTTCAACACACCGCACACACATTTTTGTATACATTCCCAGTCTCACAAAGGGGGAATAAATAATAGGTCAATTAAAAAACAATTTGCCTCAGAATTGTTGCCAACAGTGAATACCAACCAATGAGGTGTTAAAAGAACTAGGTGAACTTCAAACAAAGTGCCTAAAGCATACACTATTTACCTTCTAGTGCCGAAAGAAATTAGAATTTTTTTTCATAAACCACACAGAAATTATTACGATATGTTTACATGTTACATTGTGCTGGGGACATATGCTAGGGTGTTTTCCTGCTTTTCTTGTGATTTTCTAGTCAGGCTTTCCTCAGTTACATCTGCACTTACAGAAAAGAATGTAAGAAATGAATACGAGCTTTTAAATGAAGACTGCATGCTTGGCCAAAGTCTATGCAGATTCAAAACAAATAGATCGTATAAATAGCAAGGAAAATGGGAATTAACTGGTGCAATGGATAACTTAGGTGCAAAAAAAATGATAAAGTACTAGAAGAAAAACACTTTGGTTTAAAGCTATAAGAATCCAAAGTAATATGTACTATGGATCAAGAACAAATCAAATTCCTGGTAACTCATTTAACCCTTGTTAAATGAAAACAACAAGTACTAACAGTTAGAGTCAGGACTGAGATCATTAACAGGGGGTACCACAAGAATCGGTATTAGTACTGCTGTTTCTAACCTACATCAGTTGTATGACTCTCATATGGTGAGTTTAAGACTGGGCAGACAACTGACAAATTAACTATAATGTGAATAAGTGCAATTTATTAGATATTCAAATGAATAACAAGGACTTAAATACCAAATGGGTGGTACCAGAAAAGGCAACAAAAAAGGAAGATTGAGATATACTTTAAAACAGCCAACTGTCACAAAACTATAGAAGAATTAGACTGGTTTATTTAACAGAAATTAAATTCTTACGAACCTGCAGGCATACAGCATGTTTGACATAAAAGTGACAGGATTGACACTGCGAGACGTATCCATCACATAGACCACCACACAGGGGAAAGAGGAGGCCTACAGAGCAAGAAGAGCTTCAGTTCTCACATTTTTACCACTTCAGAAGAGAAGCCTGTGAGCCCTTTGCTTCAAACTACTTAATAAAATGTAATTAAAACTATCCCACAAATTCAGATCTGGAAAGCACTCCTTGTCATTCTTTTCCATAGCTGGAATACAGTAAACCTGTTAAATCATCTTATAACATGAACAAGGGCCATGTGTGGGTAGGATCAATAAGGTTATAAAAGAAGGAAATAATTTATTATAGCATTCGCATTCTTTTTGTGTTGACTTGAAATGTAATTCCTTCACAACTTCTAATAGGAAAAATAACTGTTTTTTTCTAGCTGGAAAATAGAAAAATAACTTCGTTTTTTTCCTGAAGGCACAGACTATGCTAAAGCTAGACATACTTTTTAGGGCTGCCAATAATCTCCTGGTCAAATGTAAAAAAATCAACAGAAATCTGTTAATGATACTGTATGATGTTAATGAAATCAGTTCAGATTTATCCAAGGGTATAAGCCCTGGCTACCTGAGAAATTTCACCAAATCAAAGAGATAAAACTAAGACGAATGTGCATTGTATTACAAAACAGTAGTACAGCATGAAAATGACTAATGGTTCTAATAATATCTTTTCTTTACATACTAAAGCTTCTGTGATGATTGTCCCAGACGCTGACCAGGTGAACACTTCAATCTGTCCTGGGGTGTCAATTAATACATACCTGTGGGCAGAAAAAACATCAAGGTTCAACAAGTACTAACAACCTGACATGGACTGAAATCTGCCAGCCAGTTTGCAAACTCCACATAGCAAATGACTATGGATACAGGTGGGTGTGTTTGTTGAGGTAGGAAAGAGACCTTAACTGAGATTAAGATTTTAGGACTTTAGTAAATCTAGATACACTACATTCTGTGTGATTGTGCCCTAAAACATAATTTCACATGTCCATTCTTCTGAAAGATGGATCATTGTATGTTGTTGGTATAAATGCTCCAAACATTTTCCATGTGCAAAAACATTTAGAAATTATTAAATGATCAAGCAAATGTGATACCAGTTAAAAGGGGCAAGTACCAACAGTTATGAGATGGCTGCTTTGCTATCATTGGAAGTTGTGCACTTTATTAACTGTCCCATATAAACTATTTTTTTTTTCTCAAAGCACAACATAAACTGAAAAAAATATTCTGAATAATAAAGGTTAAGTGAATTTAAAGTTATGAAGAAGCTTTTGTATAACATACACACAACAGCTAAAACAACCTTAAATGGTGGTCGGTGGGTGTCAAGCACAGTATTGTTTATCAAAACTCATATTGCGTGTAATCGAAAATATGGAATAAAATTTACTTTTGTTTTAACACCGTTAACCAATTTATATTGTATTTGATACAGTAATAAACAATATATACAAATTATATACTATAAATAATGTTTACAGGTTTAACCATAACAGTCAAGATAAGTACTGTAGCATCTCCCACAAAATTAAAAAAGGCAACTTTCAAGCTTTACACTGGTAAAAAAAAAAGAACATCTAATCTAGCATTCATCAATAGTATTTCACTAGAGCCCCAACACATAGAGGAAACTTGCAATTCTAACATTTTAAACACTAAATGTCTTAATATTTTACATGTCTGTCTATTACTCATTAACAGACATACAAAAACTTAAAATATTTTAACCTGAAAAAAACAAGACATTATTTTATGTTTTGAGTTATGGGTCTAGATGGGTCACAAATAGCTTGTACATGCACATGGGTTAAATTATTTAAATTCTGGGTAGGAATGAGATGTATACCTGCATACAATAACTAAAAATACCAATAATCTGCCAATATATTAAAATAATCACAACAGGCTATTTGCTAAATTATTTATCTAAACTTTAGTTATGAAATGGGACAAAGGAATACTCGGTCCTCTGGTATACAGTACGTGCTAAGCATGGTAACTTTAAATCTTTAAATATTGACAGGTACAGCAAAACAATGACAGAAAAATACAATTTTACCACTTTGTTTAACAAATGTATATAATATATACAAAAATACTAGACATGCAATAATATTTAAACACCACAAAAGACACCACTTTGTCACAGGTATTATGTTGTAGAATACTCATGCTTGCCTAATGAGTGCAAAGTCAATGAAAGTGAAAAAAAATCTGTATGACAGCTTTATTTGAAGCACAACTGCAGTAAGCTTTAATGCTAACATTCAGTTTCAGTTGAATCATACTGGTAAATAATCTAGCTAAATGAGTCTTTTCAGGAGGTTAGAAATAACCTTACTGCAGGCAAATGTATAAAACGGTAATGAATAATGACCGTCTTCACACTTACTGATAATCCTTTTGTTTTTTCTCAATAAATTTCATGACCTAAGAGAGAAAGAGAAAACATTAATATCTTGTAGTTATCACTGTAATGAACTGAATATCTGATTCAACTTGGCCCCATTCTTGACTTTTTCATTTTAAAGTGCATTTATTGGAATGAGTTTAATGTTTCATTTAAACATCTTCACAATGATCTTGAGATTGATTGAACTGAATTCAAAGAAATAATATAACCCTGAGATTTTATCCAGATGCTTTATTGAAAAGCATGGCATGTTCAAATAAGTTCTGTCCTGACAGTAAGGTGCAATAAAGATTTGAAAGACAAACTGTTGCCACCCTTTTTTTCCAAAAAGTCATGAAAAGAATAAAAACTTTCTCCATCTAGACATATCCACTCAGAATGTTAGACCTGGGCTGAATACAAAATATGAAACTATATAGAGAGGTGGTGTGTCTGAACTTTAGCTGAATATCACATTCCAGTTACACAGTGACCACAAACGTTACAGCAGGAAAGAGTAGTGTTCCCCATCATGTATATTTTTAAAATGCAAAATGTATGAAATCCAAATGTATACTTCAACACTCATTATATAGTGTTTATATTAGAATAAAACCATTCTCCTTGCTATTTATACAAATTTATTAAAATTGAAAACATCAAAATTTTGAGCCTTTCCCCATCACTCTTAATAATATACATTAAATACATTTTAAATTATTCATTGATTACAGAGTAACATTTCTGAGATCTCTTGAAACCATGTCTGGATAATACTTGGTACAAGCAGACTGTGTTACCTGATCAAATCTAGTAGCGAAGAGATTCAGAGAGGTGACAATCCCCCCGTTAGGTCCCAGTCCGTATCTATGATCAGGTTAAGGGACTTCTTTCACCAAGTAAAATGTATACTTTAAGGAATAAAATAATTTAAAAGTCTAAATTAAAAGTAAAAATGATTACTTATCTTTCTAAAGAGGATCTTGTCCCTAATGTGAATATAGTGTGAATATATCAATAAAAAGAAGGTAGGCAAGAAGAAAATATTCACCAGTTTGCTTGGTAATTAGTTCCCAATATTACAAAGGTACTGATTCAGCACCGTTATGAAGGATCCCAGAGATTCACCATACATAACATGAGCTTTTCACTCCAGACACCCATAGTTTTACATTAAGAAGTACCTTCTAATTTTAGTTTAAAAAAATGCACCTGTTTAAAGATTCTACTAAGGGGCCATTTTTTTTTATTTCAAAACTTAATTTAAAGCATTCTTGTAGATTGACCACCTCTATATATTTGAGAAATATTTTACTCCGAAACAATTGCAAGCTCTCAATTTCAAGACTATTTAAGAGTAACTTCCTTTGGTTTATAAACAAAAACAGACAGGCTTCATCAAGTAAGATAATCAAATAACTGCAAGTGGAATCTCCGGGGAGTGCATTTAAAACTTACAACAAGGGGCATTTTTTTATACAAAGGGTCATAGGACGATGGAACAAGAAACACAGCCACGCTATTGAAGACAATATCATCACTTCTTAAGAAACAAAAGGGTAGGATCCTTGTACCAATAAGCTGCAGTAGTAAAAACCAAATAACTGTATTAAGCTAGAGAAGGGTCAAATGGCCTTCTCTAGTTTACAGTATAAGTTTCATGTTCTTGTCAAATGCACCAAAAGTAATGACATTTTTCTGTCTAAAGCAATAGGTGATCTCATCAATTTGTGAAGCAAGAACATACTTTCAAGAGACATTTAAACAAGTTTTTGGTTTAAATTTATTTAGTACCTATAATGATGACAGGTTAAGGTGTTTGATTTTTTTTAATTCATTGCAGCCAATTCACAAAACAAAGTAATAAAACCTAGAATGCTTTGAGCATGTGTAATGGCAACAACTTATCTGTAGGAAATTATTCTTACGCTGAATTATTTGAGGTGCACCAAACATTTATTTTTGCCTCATTTATTCTATTATGTTGGAAAGGATACTGCTTCATCACTTCTTTGTAGTTCACAGTGTCCCGAATATCTGGAAAGCAAACAAACAAGAAACAGGTTACAAACCTCAGTTCTACGTCTCATCCAAAGGACCCTTTTAACAGTATAGAGTCCCCATCACTATACTGGAGCATTAGAACCCACACAAACTGCAGGGAGAGCACCCCCTACGGGCCATACTAACCCCTCTTCCAGAAGCAACCTTAGTTTTTCCCGGTAGACTCTCATCCAGGTACTGACCAGGCTCACACCTGCTTAGCTTCAGTGGGCTGCCAGTTGTGAGCTGCAGGGTGATATGGCTGCTGGCCATAATTATTTGACCCAGGTGGGATTTTGCTTAGATCCTCGCATCTGATTAAAGTTTATAGATCTTCACAACCAGCTTATTAGCTCAGTGCAAGGAGGTCAAAGCACCTTCCCTTAGTTTTGGCTTAACTGTATCTTGAATTTAACCATGCATCTTAACATACTGAAATCCATACATTGTCTTGTTATTGGAAACGATCCCCTCAATGTTTTATTCAACTATCTGGAGGGTTTCAACCACTTTCTGCAGCTTTAACATAACTGATAGTACTAAATTCCTGCAGGATGTAACCCTAGTCTACTGTACGTTAAATACTAAGAAATTCTGGTACCCATTAATACAGCCTTAATATTAAGTAGTGTATAATTTGACTATTACTACATTTTAGGGATTGGTTAAAAATTCTTTCCCTCTGGATACTTACCAATATTTGCTGGAAAGGGAACCTCATGAACTGCCGGATCAAGATTTATCACATAGGGAGGAGATTTCTTTTTGTGAAGATATGCAGTCAAACGCTGCAACCATAAGACATCACTGTGAGTGACCAAAAGCAAACTATGGAGACTGAATTGAATATAAATTACAACTGGCAGTTTGTAAAACTCATCCAAAGAAAAAAAAAGTGAACGGGATATACAAGCTTTGTATATGAATTTAGATAATAATATGACTGAATAATGTGTTTTCGGTTATACCATACAGATGTTAGGCTATGTTTTAACTATATGACACCTGGATACACAATATTTCATGTGCAACCAACACAATCTTTCATCTGAAACGTCTTCATTGTAGATACGAAAAAGAAAAACAAAATACGGGAAAAAAACCCAAAACCTTATCTGGCGTTCTGGAAATCTATAAGCACATCATGCGATTCTCACTAGATAACAGAACTCACGGGAAGTTTTGGAATGGATGTGTTAAGGGATGCAAAGTACTGTAGTTATATAGCATTCAGTCAAAACTTTATTCTGATTTTTTTCTAAAAGTATTATAGTAAACAATGGTGTAGACAAACTGAACTGTATAATCATGTGAATATTGTTTTCATTTAATACGAGACTCCTATACTGTGTGTGTTCATAGTTAAAAGAAGTAAAGTTACCTGTACAAACGTGGTTTTGCCAGAACCTGCCATTCCAAGCACTATAAGACACACAGGTTTCTGATTTCGACCCATCCCCATTGGCTGCGATCTTTCGGCTTCACACTTTTTAATACCGTCCACTCCTTCGCCATCGTCACATCTGCTATCATCTCCATGAAGGCTGTTGCTATCACGATCAGGTCCTAATTCACCTCCCGCAGTCGCCATGTTGCCTCAACGCTGCCGTAAAAAAATAATACTGACGCAAAGTTGCAGAGTGTCACTCGACTTTAGAAGCCGGTATTGTTGTGAAGTCGGATGACGCCATCTTAGTAAGGGATCGTTTAACAGGGCACATTTTAAAAAAGAACTATAACAAATTATTGTATTGATCTATTTTACGGAAGGGATAATTTGTGCATTTCCATCTTGTATTGTAAAGCTTAATTTAGTGAATATACCAACTGATGTTGTTTCATTTTCGTCTTCTTTCAGCTCAGAGTGTAACTCATCTCGTGTTTTATTTTTTGGGGTTATTTACTGAGTTGCTTGATTATATAGACATGGCCTCATCGTTGAAGGACGGGCTAAATGTATGTGATAACATTAGCCTAGTTAACAAAATGTCTTCACAAGTAAAATGAAGGGTAATATGGGTTTATGAATGGAGTGAAGGTGTAGATACTTAATGCTTTAGCTATAAAAAGTGGAACTGCGATCACATAGAAATATATTCCATGACTATGATTCTTAAACGGCCCTGACAGTGGTTGAATTATAACTTAGTATGTCTGGTTGACCCATTTGTTAGATCATGTTTAGTAGTCGTGTTATTTTTTATGGTACAAAATTTAAGGCAAATTCTTCCAGCTCATTTTACTCAGTGCCAGATTGTTAGTTAATATTAGGTAGGAAATCAGCTTCTGTCTGTAGAATTCAGTGCTATAGCTCCTTTTTTACAGTGAATATTCTTCAGCCTGAGAGCAACATGGAGATTAGATGGCTGCTGTATCAGATTGTGTTAGAGTTGCATTTGGAAACTAAATGGTAAACAATATTGATAAATTCAAAATACATTTAAAAATAGTGTTTGCTTAATCAAATGTCCAATTGAGTTTTACACTGGAATGTTAAGGGTGAAAGCAAATTTACATGCAAATTGATTTAAAATCTAATTTACAGCTACCATTCCAAAATGCCTATATAGAAAATAGTCTTCAAGATATGAAAGTTGACTTGTTAATGGTGCTCGGTCAGGAAGGTGTCCATTAGGTGACAACACTCCTCTTCCTGCCTCAGCTCCCTGTCAGACTGGATTCTTATTTCACCAAAGAAAAACAAGACTGGACTCTGATAATTGTGAAATCCAACAACTGAAGCTGCACAGGAGGTATTGGAATTAACAATACTAAATACAATTTGTGCTTTTGAGTGTGAAAAACAATATGTTTAAGTAATTTGATTCATCTGCATTTATTGTAGTTTGCACTAGTTCGGAAGTGTATTAATTAGTTTATAAGAGTAAAATTTATAAAGTTTATAAGGAGTTGCAGCACAAGATTTGACAATTGAAAATTTCATCATAGAATTGTTTTATTTATGCACAAAGGTCGTGACTATAATTTAATTTCCTAATGTTAAATATAACAGTAAGTGTGTTTAAAATAGTTGTGCCGCTGATAAATATATTAGGTGTGAAACAGCAGATTCTCATGAGTAGAATTTAATGATGGCTTAAGGGTGGACAGAATTTTAAGTATTATTCATGATTCTTGAGTACCATTGAGAAAGTATACTTATGTTCGTCATTCAAGTAGTCTTCTAGAAGGTACCCTTTTCTTTTATATAATGACATATTCATAGTAACAGTACTTTCATTTGAGCAACACATTTAGGTTCTTTTTATACCCCTGGTTGAGGAATCATTGAAATACAGCAATGTGGGTTTACATGTACTGCCTCAACCAAAAGTACTTGTCAATTCACAACAGTCAATGCTGGGCCACATATTGACTAGCAGCTTCCAGACATCGTTGTCCGGTCACCAGAGATTGCCATGGATAATGTGTTGGGAGGAATGTGGATGCAAGGTGCCTGCACATGACATGTTGTTTTGTGGAGAAAATGTTGCTTATGGTTATTCTTTAACACGTACAGGAAACCATTCATACAAAGTCTAGCCTCAATGACATCAAGACTCCTCCTCATCCAACTTCTCTGGTTCCCTTCTCTCCAGCTTCTCTCTTCTTGACTCAGCATCCCTCAATAAACTAGTTACACGCATGAAACCCACCACATCAATTTTAGATCCCATTCCCACCACTTTATTTCAGTCCTGTTTCTCTTCTCTCTGTCCCATTGTCCTCAATATTATACATGAATCCATGAGCACTGGCATTGTACCAACGGTACTCAAAACTGCTGCCATTACCCCCATGCCAAAAAAGCCTAACATGGCTCTCGACAATCTTAACAATTTTCTCCCAATCTCCAACTTACCCTTTCTTGCTAAAATTCTAGAGTGTGCTGTCACACTTAAGTTGCATAACCACCTTCTGATAAACAACCTTTTCGAACCCCTCCAATCTGGCTTCCTTCAACTTCACAGCACAGAAACTGCCCTTTTCAAAGTCACCAACGATCTTCTAATAGCTTCTGATTCTGGTTCTCTTTCTATACTCATCCTTCTTGATCTCAGTGCTGCTTTTGACATGGTTGACCTTAACATCTTACTTTCTTGTCTTGAGACTGTGTTTGGAGTTTCTGACACTGCTCTCAAATGGTTCAAATCTTACCTCACTGATCGCTGTCTCTCTTAGTGGGTACAGGTCTGAAATTGGTCTTGTTAAGTCTGGTGTTCCTCAGGGCTCAATACTGGGCCCCTTGCGGTTCAGCATTTACATGTTCCCACTTGGTCAGCTTTTAAGATCATTTTTACACTGACGATACTCAAATATACATCCATACCAAACCTGACACTGATGTGGCTGTCTCTATTCTATCTAATTGCATCTCTGACATAGCAATTTGGATGACTCAAAACTTCCTTCATCTTAATGGTGACAAGACTGAAGTCATGCTTATTGGCACCCCCCATCAACTTCGTAAAGCCAGTTCTGAAACCCTATCTGTAGATGGCTCTGTACTTGAGCTTCAATCAAAATTGAAAAACCTTGGCGTTATACAGTATACGATTCTGGCTTAACATTCGACCCACACGTGCAGCATACTGTCAAAACATCTATCATTAACTGTGGCTGAAAAGCTGATCAACACATTTGTTTTCTCTCGAATTGACTACTGTAATGCTCTACTCGCTGGGGTATCTAAATCTACTCTGAACAAACTGCAGTATGTCCAAAATTCAGCAGCCAGAATCCTGACGAGGTCTAGTGCAAGTGTTCACATTACTCCTATCCTGGAGTCCTTGCAATGGCTTCCGGTCAAATTCCGTGTAGACTTTCAAATCCTCATGCTCACCTATAAGGCTCTGCATGGCTTGGCACCTCAGTACCTGTCTGAACTATTATCGCCCTACTCCCCAAATCGCAACCTTCGCTCTTCTAATTCTGCTCTCTTTACTGTCCCCCAAGCCCGTCTACATTGTATGGGTGACAGGGCCTTCTCCTGTTATGCCCCCAAGCTCTAGAACTCTCTCCCCAAGGATATCAGAGAGTCAAATCCAGTCTCAAAACCCTCTTCTTCAGAAAAGCCTTTACTTAACTGGTTCCATTCTTCACCCCCCTGCTTTTCTTAGTACCACCATCCAAGTCTCCTCTGTATATTGTAATTGTGTATTCTGTTTATTTATTGTTGTTGTCATCCTGTAAAGTGCTCTGAGAAGCCACCTTTAAAGGCGCTATATAAAATAAAGTTTATTATTATTATGATAAGACCAAAACAATTGGATGTCTCATTCTGTTGTAGCCTTTGTCCCTCAGAACAGCAGTTGAGCTACAGTATTTTGTTTCCACCTGATCTTCTGTGGACGCCTTGGCTGAGGTAGAGCCCCGTTCACCTAAAATTGTGGATTCAAGAATATTAACAGGCCTTCAAAATAACAATAGTGGCTTCAGGGCTAAAGAAATCATTCTGTACTTCACTCTCTTCATGCTGACTCTAAATTATCGTCCAGGTTCTATGACTAGGATAAAGGAGTAAATTTTAGATCCCAGCTCTGCATACAGAGCAACATATGTTGTCAGCTCTTACAGCTAATTAAAAAATGAAAATAACAGAACTATGTTTAGATAAGTATGGTAAAAACATTGCAGTCTTCTTTATAAGCAACACCACCATGATATTTTTATTTCTTTTGAACTCAACCCCTGGATGTTTAAAGAAGCTTTAAACATGCACAAATGCGGAAATGTTAATGTGAAAATTTTAAAATATTTACCATATCTAAAGGACTCTTTGTATGACCATTTTTCACCTAGCCATTAAGGATTTCTCTTGTTATATTACTAGAGAGGTACTGCACTATTTTTCACCGAGGTATTCACATTAAATACAATAGTCACTCTGTTGAATTATTGTTTTTCAATAATTGTTTGTGATACTGCTGGTTTCAAGAAAGCATCATTAATTTAATGATTTGTTTATTTGTAAATGCAATTGTATTAGTGAAGATGCGTTTGACATTGCATTGCAATTTAAATTGTCATTAACCTGGAACAGCCACTAGGGGGTAGTCAATACTCAGTTATCAGACTCCTGTTTTTTCAGTTTGCTTAGCCCTTGCAGATCTGTTGAAACTATGGAACATGGGTTTCAAACAGTTGCTGGAGGACCTTTTGTCCTCTGGTTTTTGTTCCAACCTGAATATCCAATTAAACAATTAATTATATTCTAAATAAATTATATGAGTAGGGTTTTTCTTAAGGTCAATTTATAAATCAGCTCAGAGCCTGGTTAGAAGTATGACAGTCATGTAGCTCATTAAATAATTAGACCAACTATGTATCTGAACTCCGGATCTAAAACACCAAACACTGTTGTATTCATTAGATGGGCCATCAGCAAATTGCAGGCTAATTGCAGGCTTTTCAGCTCTGGTCATTTTTTAGAGTAGTCAAATTCAGTAAACTGGATCCCCTGAAAACACTTGCAAAACACAAGGAGAGCATGCAGACCCTACAGCCACTGGAAGCTGGTATCAAGGCCAAGTCCTCACAGCTGTGTGAAAGCAACACTGACTCCCATGCCAATGCAAAACATTGTTGTGTAGAAATGTACAGCATAAAAAATGTTTCATAGATC